CAAGACATCAGGGATGCCCACTAGGGTCATTATTCACAGAGGCATGCTAGAGACATACAGGCAGGGCTTTTTTTGTCATAGAACGCACCGCACCCCACCGGAACTGCGGATTTTACGAAGTGATTTTGAATCGTAGCAGATTAGCAGCAAACATCATTAACATAGTGCCTGCAGGCTGCTTTTGTGTCTGCTATCTGATAGTGAGATAGTGAGGGCACTGGCTTGGGATTGGTGTGTGTGGTCACGCACTTACTGCCAGCAAGGTGAGTTCCGGCACCTTTTTTTTTTTTTTTACAAAAAAAGCACTGCATACAGGTAACTCAAGAATGCTGTGTGGGAAAGGAACTAACAATCCCAACAAAGGGAGGGGTGATAGGGATTGGACTGGCCTCTTTTACAGTATCTATTCATGTATATTTAGCACATCTTCAGGAGCAAATGGCTTGTGCAATAGTAGCTCTTGAAAATGCTACTATGCAAGCACTAGGGAAACTGGCTGGAGAGATGCAACAAATGGAAGTATATACACCACAAATTAGGGCGACTCTGAATTATGTTTTAGTACCAAAGGAGGGGCCTGTGGGGTGATTGGACACACCTGCAAGATGGATTCAAACACAACAGATGTCAATGAAGACTAAAGAGCAATCCAAGATTACTTGGCCTAAAGGAGGGGAGGGACTAAAATCAGGTAGCACAAAGTGTGGGAAAACAGGCACGTAGGCAGGAGGGCCAAATACTCCCTGATTGTTTATTGACAAGCTTGGCAGAACAAAATGAGCCTATTGTAGTTCGGGGGTGGGTGGAGGTCTGAACTGGGAAGAAGGGCCAGTATTGGAGCAGTGAGGAGTAGATGGGTGGAAAGATTGTAAATTCCTGGTACCCCAGCCAATGAGGGGAAAGGAGGAGGGAGAAGTGGCCGGGGCAGGGCATAAAAGGGGGATGTGAACATGTGCCCAGGTGAACAGGAAAATGGGGAGGAAACCATTTTTTTTCTGTTCCCTTCCTTGCAATAAAGTTTTAAAAAGAACTCTCTGCATGCTTTGGATATTTTTCTCTTCTGATGGTAAGGAAAGAGTGATTATAACTGATACTATCACTTTGATTAAAATTATATAATGTCAATTGCACCATCACAGTGAGCCCTGTCAGAGGTGAAGTAGACAGACTCTTGAACCAGGAAAGTTTCTGATTCTAATCTGATACTCTTCAAATCTTTAGTCCAATTTTCCACACAGCTTTGTGGGAAAGTAATGTGTTTCTATCACCATGTGTTTTTGGAGACTTGGGAACAGCATGAAAGTGCATGGTTGAGAGCAGTGTGAACTCATTCCACCATGTTGTGAACCAATCAAAGAGCTTTGACTATGGGTAGTATAGAAATGTAATGCAATAATAAGAATAAGAATTTTAGTCTGTGTTGCAGGATTAAAAACAGCACTTCAGTAGTCTGCAAACCTGTATTGTCATAATGACATGGTGACAAAAGAAACACTTAAACTGTGTTGGACCTTAAGGCTAGCAACTAGCCATAAAGCAATTGTTAGAATAACAATGGTGGGAATCATACCAAAGAAGGGGCAAGCAAAGGATAATCAAGATAATCGTTCTTGGTTTTTTTAAGCAGTTAGTGGCAGTGGTGACAGGGGTCACTTTGGGTGCCAGGCTTAGGTACAGCATTGGATGCAGAGAGCCATGGGTGTAAGAACAGAAATCCCAAGGAGGGGATGTTGCTTAACAGCCAAGAAGAGCCAGATACATTTCTTTCAGCCTGTGTTTCATTTCTATAAAAATGCTAGCATACTCACTGTCTTCTGTGGTGGTGGTGGTGGTGGTGGTTTAATTCTGTTAGAAGCCTGGTCTGAGTTGCTACTTGGGTGCTTAGCCAGAGGACTACTGGCTTATAAGCCAGTAAGATTACCAAGCTCTTTTTGGATTCAGTCTGCTTTATTCATGCATTTCTATTAACAACAACCAACTGGACAATTGTTACTTCTTTCAGTAAGTTTTCTGCTCAACCTACTGTTAAAGGGGCAGCTATAAGGATAATTTCAAAACTTGGCAACACTTTGAATATCAACCAGTGTGATATACTCTTGACTTTGTGGATGAGCTAAAAGTCTAGAAGGCATACTGAGAAAGAGGACAAATCATCTGCATGTATATTAAGGGAATTTATGGTAACAACATGCTAAATAATGTCATAGTTTTAAATATGCAGGTCATGAAACCAAATGCATATGGGCTGCTTGTGGGAAAGGGCTTCCTTTTAGTTTGTTTGTTTGTTTGTTTTGCTATTTCCAGAACTTTGGTAAACTTTGCCTGGAGCTTTCTGTGTACCTGTTCCTTCTGATGTGTGTTAATGTTGAGCCCTAGAAGGTCTGCAGGAAACTGTTGGAATGATCTTTTAATCATTAGGAAGTAGATGCAGATTTGTGGGCTATTGGTTTGTGCTTGGATTTCTCTTATTTACTTTCTGCAATAAATTAACTGAAACAGATTTACTTTAGCTCTGATTGATCTTCTTTGTGTAAGTTTAATCATTAAACTGTTTACCTCTGAGAACTGAAATGTAAAACCAGAGCCAACCACACAAGGAGATCCGTGAAAGGCTTTTGCAGGGTCCTCCCCAGTTTCCATTCTAAAGTAGCTGTATGACAGGGGCTACAATGTTGACAAGTAGCACAGGTGGATGCAGTACTTCACTTTCCTGCCCTTGTCTTCATAAGCTGTTCTCATTCTCCTTGCAAGCTCCTATTAGCTGTACACTGGAAAAAGGCAGGCAAGATCCAGTGGCTTGCATTTTTTCTGTTCTAGGGTTAGTAGGTTTGGGGAATGTGATTTAGGCTGGAATGATGTGGGGAGAGGGGATAAATATTTATTCCCCTTTGTTACTGCTCCAGTCAAAATGGATGCTCTCCATAGTTGCTTTCAAGTGATAAAGGGAGCAAGTAAACAAAACCTGCCACTGTACTAATTCTAAAGCACATCTTCTCCACTTAAATCATCAGGATGGCATTATCCCATCTCCCGGGGTTGCTCTGTGGTGGTAGTTTGTTTTAAATGATGTGTGTGCATGTGTCTGCACACGTGCATGCTGGAGGTGAGCTCATTTACTATAATTTCACTAACTCAGATTGACTTGCTATGAATATTTTTCCATATTTTTATTTTTTGATTCCCTTATTTCAGGCCTTTCTAAAAACTAAACAAAAAAGAACAGATTGTATTCTAAAGATGGACAACTGGGAGACCACCATGACCGGCTAGATCACAGCCTCCAGCTTTATGGCATGATACCAAGGAGGATGCTTGTGTGCATGGGAAGGCTGCCACAGCTGCTGCCACCCTGACTTCTCAATATTCAGTTGTAGGAGGCTGAATATTTAATACATAAAATGTCAATAATACACAGGCATGGCATCAAGGGTTGGCCATGGGTTCCCATCTTAAAAGGGCCCTTCTCTAATTGTACGCACCTTGTGGGCAGTGACCCCACTGAAGGGGAGCCAAATCGGTCCTTTATTTTTTTATAATGTGTATGCTACTTTTCTACCAAAAATGGCATGAAGATTACTAATAAAACTTGAAAAAACCAGCAATAAGCAAATATATAACACAATTAAAAAAACAAACACAACAGCAGAGCAAAAAGCAGCATCCAGCTCAACAGACCTGCTCACGCATGAAAGGAAGAAAGTAGTAGTTCTTGCTGGCAGAAGGATAGCGATGAAGGAGCAATCCCGCGTTTCCTCACACAGTGTTCCATGGCCAGGGAACCAGCTGCTGCCACTTGGCTCCACGCTGAACAGCAACCATCTTAAAATACCCCAAATGCAACACCCAGCCCAACGATTACCATAACAATCTAGAGAAGTTTGGGGTATTTTAAGATGGTGGCTGGCTGGCGCAGAATGGAGTACTCCCTCAGCTTTAGGAAATCATCTGTCACCCACCAGCAAAACATGTCTGTTTCTGAGGTAACATGAGCCAGTAACAGCAGCAATGGGTGGGTCTGGCACATACAGTGGTTTAGGGAATGGCATGACGCTCAGCTTTGTCATGCTTGAAATCTCTGAACTTTGGCACCAGTCCAGCTCACTTAAAATTGACATTCACTAATATATGCCAGTCAAGGATGAAGAACTGGCCTACACACTCACCGTGGCTGAAGGGTTCCTAGTTGATGTTGGAGAACATGCGTGTAGACACTCATAGGATGGTAGGAACACTTATTAAGCCTAAAGGACCTTTCTTCCCTAGTCAATTATTTGGCGGTGGGGGTGGGATGACAATGACAGATTTTTGTTGAGACTGTGGCATGGGAGGAAAGGATGGACTGGACAGCTCATCAGACAGGACACTGTCAAGCAGAGGGTTGTCCTTTGCCAGCTTTCCAGAATAGAGGACTATGTCAAGTTAATAGGACAATCAGTCACCATAGCTGAGTTTCAGCCCCTGATTATCAAACACCCTCACAGAGTATTTACATAGGCAAATAAGAACTATTTTGTAAAATCATACTGATAGTGCTGGTGCATTTTATTAGGAGCAGATGCTTACCAACTTGTTGACAAACTAAAGTAGTCACAAACCTACTTTGTTACAACCAAAGTAGGCATAAAACCAATATTACAGTCACACTTATTGTTATTCACTCAACACAATAGCAGTCTAAGATGCTGGACACAATAATACCAGGAAGCACTGTGTTTATAAAGTCTTTGAGCATAACTAAGAAATGCCCTAAGTTAAAACAAAGGATTGCCTTATGGATACAATACATGACAACAGGAAGGCAGTAAATAGAGCTTCTGTTCACCACTTCACAACTGTGTCCAGTCTTTTAGGCAAGAGCACTTTGCATTGGCAAGGTGTATCAAGGTATATACCTTGGCAGGCATATAAGCACTTGTGGACAAAAGAAAATCTCTCTTCCTCAACACAATTCCATGGCATTATACTCTTCCATAAAAAGAATAAAAACTGTTTATGCTTACCTGAAATGCAGGGTTGTTGTAGCTACTGGCAAAAGTGCCATTAACCTCTGGCATAGCTATAGGTTTAGCCAAAACACAGGCTTGATTTAAAACAAAAGAAAAGGGAGCTGCTTTTCAAACTGGCTGTGCTCGTAGGCAATCAGTGACAACGTCCACTTAAACTGTGTGTTTAGTCTTTCTGCGGATGGATTACTTGTAGGTTACTGGCATGTAACCCCTCCCACAGCTCTTGCATTGAATTGATTGCTCCACCTTCCTGTGTCTTGATGGAGCACACTCACAGGGAAACTAGTGTAAAAAAATCCAATCTTGTGAAATTTGAAAAAGAAGATGATTAACACATGGGTGTGAGCCATCTGGAAGACATTGTGCTTGTTCAATCATTACTCCTCCTATAGCCAAGCAGGTAGATCCTTGCTTTTCTGGAGCTTTGGGAGTTGCTTGTTTTCATATTTTGATGTTGCTACATTTGAATGGAAAGAGACAATAGTTGCTAAATGTTATATAAACATGAAGTCCTAGGTTTTGATCTGGGAGTTGTCTAAGATAAGGGTGGAAAGATGGTAGATGTTTGGGTAACTTCCAGTAGATTGGTAAAGATTGTCTGACTTCCAATGCTAGTAACAATATGAAAATACCTTTCTGGAGCCCATATTATTTCGTTGTAATGAAAAAAAAGCTTTGGGGAAACCAGGAGTGGATTTTTTAGTGGAAGGCCTATGAGCTCAGTTTAGTTCTGACACTGAAAACAAATTCCTGGTCTTGAAAGCTTTTAATTTTAAATATGCATTTTTGTACCCAACTCTAATTAGTGAAGCTCAGGGTTCTTCAAGAAACAAAGTAGATTCTGCAAGACTGAACTCTGACCTTCCCTGTCCTAGATCATGGATCCTTGGACATATGCAAAAACAGAAGTAATATTTGATACAAGGCAGGGCTACTAGAGACAAACAAGTCTCATGAGGTATTTGATGACTTTGCACATAGCAACTTCCGCTCATTAATACTTCAAGGATAAGTTTAGACACATTCTATACTCCTCTCATCTCTATGAGGCCTAACATTTTGTGACAACTATTCACATACAGGCTAGATTTGCACATAAATGCACTCTGGAATGTAGCTTGAGTATCAGTTGTCATTGAATCATAGGTTGTTGATTGTAGGGTGCCATCATGTACTGTACTATGGTTTAACCATGGGTTGTTAAACAATCCAAAAACAGAACCCATGGTGTCTGGTGAACTCTAGCTTGTTTGTGGTTAAGAAGCCATGGTGAAACCATAGTGCAGAGTTTGCATGTAACAACACAGGCTCCAACAACAAAATGTGTTTTAAATTGTTTAATGTGAATTTATGATGCTTTATTGTTGTTTTATTCTATATTGTGTTTTATTGTCTTTATTGCTGTTGCTTACCCCCAGAGAACTCCCTCTCTTGGGTGCTATAGAAATAAGGAAGAAAATATGTAAATAAACAAACCCATGCTTGTTTATTTACAACAACAATCATGCTTCAACAACAATCCATACTCTACCAGTATCCTGGGTGGTTGTTACATGTGAATCAAGTCACAGTGAAACGAGGGATGTTCAAATCAGCAAAACATGAGTTTTCCAGATTTCACTTTGAAACTCATTCTATCAATATCAGTTTGCAAGCTTTGGTGTTTTTCTTTCCATGTAAAAATTTGTGCATATTTTTTATGCTTATTTCAAATGTAGGTAATAATTCTGCACATTTTAATGTATACATTTTGTTCCATTGATTAAAGCATGTTTGTGTGTATTTTAAACATTTAAACTATTTTTCAAATGTATACAACTTTTAAACACATTCATTTTTTGTTCCACAAATCATTTCAGAAACAAAGAAGCGGATAGATTTGCAGGTGGCACTCGTAACTGTGTTCAGTTCTTGTTAAACCAATTAAATTTTCATCCATCCATCAGTGAAATACAGTAACAACAAGGAAGTTCTCTTGATTTCATGAATACATATAATGTTCTTGCTGTTTGGTTTGTATCATGTAGTCATTTTCTGGGAAATAATAATGGTTATTATTTAGAAATAATGAATGCTTTGGAGCATGTAAATATTCCTGATAACTCCAGAGTCATGTCAAGGTCAAATGCTTGTCAAAAACTGTGTCTATGTGATCAAGAAAAAAAGTCTACCAGAAAAGTTACAGAACATAACTTGTTTTTAGAACCAGCAACCCACAGCAGTTAGGACTGACTCAAAATGCACATTATGCTGCTACAAAGCTGTGTGTGTGATTCTGTCTGTTGCTATTTCACAGACTCACACTAAATATGTTACAAAATGAATCTGTGGGGGACATGGAATATTAAGCATGAAGCAAGCACCTTTTTATGTAAAGAAGGGATGGTAGCTTAAGTTAACAATGTTTGTAATGAAGAGGCAGCATAGTAAAACAATCCAAGAACTCTTAGAACACTGTAAATGGCTAACAAAATTACGCAACATTCCTCTGTGCTTGGCCTGCATACCAGAGGACTGGAAACTGTCCAATTTCAGTCCAGTTTTTGAAAACTGCTAGGCTGGTGTGAAAAATTCACCACATCAAGTTTTTTTTAAAAAATGGATTCACAGTTTGCATTTCCTGGATCCAGATGTGATCCAGGTACAATTTATACTTGGAAATCCATTGTTATCATTTGAAGTCATCAAGTGGAAATAGTGCCAATTAAATTCATTACATTGTTAGGTTGTAATACAGCAAAATGTGGATAAGCCACAGGGTGGTACTGAATATTTTTTGAAGGCACTGTACCCCAAGGGTAAAAGTTGAACCTCTTCTTCAGCACCATGGTTCCAATCAGATTTACTTGCACTGTGAGATCTGATCACAGACCTCCTCTTGTTACATCTGCTTTTTGACCCCAAGAGACTCTTGATGAAAGGTACTGTTTTGTGAAATGGCCGTGTCCTTTAACCCAAGTGAACTACAAGTGTCCAGATGAAAGCCTGCAGAGATCACTGTGAGGTACTGGCATATTTATCGTCAATTAAAGTTGAAGACAAAAGTCAAATTTGTAGGGCAGTGGGGCTCCTTTTGAAGCATCCTCCTCTGCTTTCAGACCAGATCCTTTCCTTCTCCTGAATAAACCATTTCTCTAGCAGCTACACTTTTCACTGATTAGCTAATTTTCCTGATATTAAGAACCTTCCTTTCAATCTTGGGACGATTTTGCCCTTCAACAACAACACTGGGTGAATGAACTACTGTGTATGTAATGCTTTGAAAAATGAAAAGGCTAAAATGCTATCTTAAGCATATGGGAGGGAGTAGACTTGCAGCCAAACAAAGATTCAGTTTGCTAGTATGTCCATCTGTCACTCTGGCTGCAAAGCCAAAAGGAATTTGGGCTCACTTCATGGCTAGGAGGACCCACTGTGAGCTCCATTCTTCTACTGTGCTGGTCTTCACCTTAAAATGATCTCCATCTCCCCAAAAGCCAGTTTCCTCTGTGGTAGCCTTAGCTTAATTTACAAAGGTTGTGGAGGTAATGTAGAAAGTTGATGCTTAGTCACAGATGGTTGCTGTAATATTTTCTCTTCACCAGGAATTTCAGGTCCTGATCCATTTTAATAGAAGCTACGTAAAAATTTGGTCAAAGTTTTGCCTTATCTGGAAAAGTCAGACAACATGCCCTCATGTTCTCCTGCCCAAGTCTATTAGAATAAACACACCATGCAATTAAACAGAGGTTTTCAAATCTGCTTATTTTAGATCCTTTACTTTTAATGGGTGATATAATTCAACACATTTTGCATTTCCAGGTTTGAGACTATGCATCTTGTAATGCTAGCCTCAAATATGAGATGATGGTTGCACCCTGGAATGTTCCTCTTTAGTTTTAGACTATAATCTAAGCAAGAAGAGAATTGAAGTCATTCATCCCTTCCTATGTCTCTCTCCCATCAAGTCTTTACCATCTTTGCTGGTGCTGGGGAGAAAGGTGGGGATGTCTGTCTTCCCACTCTGGCCCCTGATATGCTATTATGACTGTGATCCGTGTGCAAGGAGAGCAAGGAATGTGTTTGAACATGTCCATGATGGGATAAGCCTCTTGGAAGGATGACCTGAAGCAGGGAAATAGTAGGTGGGCAAAGAGTTAAGAGGACTTTCAGCTTCTACTACTTCTCTGATCCCTACCAACCCTTGTACAGCAGTTTTCCAGTTTAAGATAGGGCTTTGTAGCCTTCAGTTATCCTTTGTCTTTGGTTCCTGACATCCTACTGTCATTTGCTTCTTTGTTTAAAAATATGTCTCACTTTTCCATCTGACAGCAGGCCTCCAAGACAATAATATGTGAATATCAATACATAAAACTAGTATTTGGAAAGGCCGTGTTGAAAGCTTGAGGGGAGCAGTGGTGGGCAATAATGGAAAATGTCCACTTCCTGAGGCCTTAGATGCAATTCTTGCTTTTTGAGGGTAACATCAGGTGACACCCTATCAGTGAGCAGGACCCTTGTGTGGTAAACTGATGCCCTACAGGGAGGAGTCTTCTCAGTGCAGTAACTATAGGCAGTAACCATAGATGGACTCTGCCCCCCCCAGGCTGGCCTCTGGACCCTTCTGGACAGGAAGGAGCATGAAGGACTTTCAGTTCCACCTGGAATGTGTTGTGCAGTGCCATCTTACTGAGCCCCAATCTGTTCATTTATCTCTGATTAGTTTTCTCCTGGTTTATGCCTCCATCCTGATTGCTTTTTGGTTTTAGTGACTGCTTTAAAGCCTTACCACCAGTCATCTGGGGCCTTCCTCCAAGTGCCAGTTCTGAGGGATGTTTGAAGGGTGTTCTCTCTGGTGGCTCCTCCATCTATGGAATGACTTGTCAACCACCCAGACAGCCTTTTTGGCTGATGGATGTATATAAATTCAGAAAGAAAGAAAGAAAGAAAGAAAGAAAGAAAGAAAGAAAGAAAGTTAGTTTAGTTAGCTAGCTAGCTAGCTAGTTAGTTTAGTTAGTTCTGCACTGAGGTCTACCTAGCATCAACCATGTTATATTTTGGCTCCAGGTTAAGATGAGCCTTTATGCTGAGGATTTTAAAGATATATTTGGATATCCAAG